TCCCTGACCCCACACTCTCCTCTCCCTGACCCCACCCTCTCCTCTCCCTGACCCCACACTCTCCTCTCCCTGACCCCACCCTCTCCTCTCCCTGACCCCACACTCTCCTCTCCCTGACCCCACCCTCTCCTCTCCCTGACCCCACACTCTCCTCTCCCTGACCCCACCCTCTCCTCTCCCTGACCCCACACTCTCCTCTCCCTGACCCCACCCTCTCCTCTCCCTGACCCCACACTCTCCTCTCCCTGACCCCACCCTCTCCTCTCCCTGACCCCACACTCTCCTCTCCCTGACCCCACCCTCTCCTCTCCCTGACCCCACACTCTCCTCTCCCTGACCCCACCCTCTCCTCTCCCTGACCCCACACTCTCCTCTCCCTGACCCCACCCTCTCCTCTCCCTGACCCCACACTCTCCTCTCCCTGACCCCACCCTCTCCTCTCCCTGACCCCACACTCTCCTCTCCCTGACCCCACCCTCTCCTCTCCCTGACCCCACACTCTCCTCTCCCTGACCCCACCCTCTCCTCTCCCTGACCCCACACTCTCCTCTCCCTGACCCCACCCTCTCCTCTCCCTGACCCCACACTCTCCTCTCCCTGACCCCACCCTCTCCTCTCCCTGACCCCACACTCTCCTCTCCCTGACCCCACCCTCTCCTCTCCCTGACCCCACACTCTCCTCTCCCTGACCCCACCCTCTCCTCTCCCTGACCCCACACTCTCCTCTCCCTGACCCCACCCTCTCCTCTCCCTGACCCCACACTCTCCTCTCCCTGACCCCACCCTCTCCTCTCCCTGACCCCACACTCTCCTCTCCCTGACCCCACCCTCTCCTCTCCCTGACCCCACACTCTCCTCTCCCTGACCCCACCCTCTCCTCTCCCTGACCCCACACTCTCCTCTCCCTGACCCCACCCTCTCCTCTCCCTGACCCCACACTCTCCTCTCCCTGACCCCACCCTCTCCTCTCCCTGACCCCACACTCTCCTCTCCCTGACCCCACCCTCTCCTCTCCCTGACCCCACACTCTCCTCTCCCTGACCCCACCCTCTCCTCTCCCTGACCCCACACTCTCCTCTCCCTGACCCCACCCTCTCCTCTCCCTGACCCCACACTCTCCTCTCCCTGACCCCACCCTCTCCTCTCCCTGACCCCACACTCTCCTCTTCCATGTCCCCAGCTTCCCTCCTTCTTGTCTATGTTCTATTATGTTCTATATTGGACTCTCTATGTTCTATAAAGGACTCTCTATGTTCTATAATGGACTCGCTATGTTCTATAAAGGACTCTCTATGTTCTATAATGGACTCTCTATGTTCTATAATGGACTCTCTATGTTCTATAAAGGACTCTCTATGTTCTATAATGGACTCTCTATGTTTTATAGTTGACTTTCTATCTTCTGTAAAGGAATCTCTATATTCTATAATGGTCTATAAATAATATGCATAAAATAAGTGTAGAAGGTTGGGGTTATGTAGTCCTGTCTTTTTTCTGTTGTCCTAATACAGCACAGGGAGAGAGCGTTGTCACCCGAGGACAGGAAGCGTGTTACTGGCAGGATCACCGGGTGATAATAATGGAAAGAATACATATGTACCGACATCAAACATTCAATCCAATGCAGCTCCGCATCTAACATACAAGAATTTGGTATCTGGCCTTAGATCCACATTCATTGAAGTATCTGCCAATCCCACTCCACCGCCAATCCCACTCCACGCCACGTTTGGCGTAAATGCAAACGCCAAACGTGGCGTTTGCATTTACGTAAAAAATAATCTAAATGTGCATACAAGGGACGATATCGCGTCAAATAATGGGGAAGACGTGGAAACTCTATGGCTGGAGCTAGATATGACGGACACTAGCCGTAAACTTCTCGTGGGTATTTGCTATAAACCTCCACCATAGTGAGTGAAGACAGCGCCAGCCCTATAGACCGTCGGTCACTTGGCTGGTAGAATGTATTCATAATATTTCTTCATCTGTGCCCATAGAAAAAAAATCTGTCTCTTTGTTCTTCGTAGAGAGGCAAAGCCCATGTACTGGCACTGGGATTGCCACTGAGACTGGCACTGGCACCACCATTGAGACTGGCACTGGGACTAGCACTGGAACTGCCACTGGAACTGCCACTGAGACTGGCACTGGAACTGCCACTGGCACTGAGAATGGGACTGGCACTGGAACTGCCACTGGCACTGAGAATGGGACTGGCACTGAGACTGGCACTGGGATTGCCATTGCCACTGAGACTAGCACTGGGACTAGCACTAGAACTGGCACTGAGACTGGCACTGCCACTGAGACTGGCACTGAGACTGGCATTGAGACTGGCACTGAAACTGGCACTGGGATTGCCATTGCCACTGGGACTGACACTGGGACTGAGACTGTCACTGGGATTGCCACTGAGACTGGCACTGGGACTAGCACTGGTACTGCCACCGGAACTGGGACTGCCACTGGGACTGAGACTGGCACTTGGACTGCTACTAGCACTGAGACTAGCACTTTGACTAGCACTGGTACTGAGACTGGCACTGAGACTGGTACTGGGACTAGCACTTTGACTAGCACTGGGACTGGGACTGGCACTGAGACTGGCACTAGCACTGGGACTGGCATTGGCACTAGCACTGGGACTGGCACTGAGAGTGGGACTGGCACTGGGACTGGCATTGGCACTGGGACAGGCACTGAGACTGGCATTGGCACTAGCACTGGCATTGGCACTGGGACTGGCACTGAGACTGGCATTGGGACTGGCACACTGGGAGTGGCACTGGGACTGGCACTGAGACTGGCATTGGGACTGGCACTGAGACTGGCATTGGGACTGGCATTGGCACTAGCACTGGGACTGGCACTGAGACTGGCATTGGCACTGAGACTGGCACTGGGACTGGCATTGGCACTAGCACTGGGACTGGCATTGGCACTAGCACTGGGACTGGCACTGAGACTGGCACTGGGACTGGCACTGGGATTGGCACTGGGACTGGCACTGAGACTGGCATTGGGACTGGCATTGGCACTAGCACTGGGACTGGCACTGAGACTGGCACTGGGACTGGCATTGGCACTGGGACTGGCATTGGCACTAGCACTGGGACTGGCACTGAGAGTGGCACTGGGACTGGCACTGAGACTGGCATTGGCACTAGCACTGGGACTGGCACTGAGACTGGCATTGGCACTAGCACTGGTACTGAGACTGGCACTGAGACTGGTGCTGGGACTAGCACTTTGACTAGCACTGGGACTTGGACTTGCACTGAGACTGGCACTGAGACTGGGACTGGCACTGAGACTGTCACTGGCATTGGCACTGGCACTGGGATTGGCACTGGGACTGGCAGGGCATGCTGGGCACACAAAGCAGACCCATCCAGAGAGCATGAGAGTGAAAGGAGATATAAATAGCGCGGAGCTTGGAGGATAAGCGTGATCCATTCATCAATGTGAGATACAATACATCACAGGAAACAGGTCACCGTGGCAGCGATCAATATTCAACATAACCATCCGTCATCCGGGGAGCCTGCAAAGCCACCGCCATTGTCCGCGCACCCAATAATAAACTCCTCCAGGACTTCCAGGTGTTGGGGCCAGCAACGTCCAGCAAGAACGTACCCAATCATTACAGAAGACCTGTCACCACGCTCCTGACCCAGAGGAGCTCACCTTCTGAAAATACGAAATCTCTGGCTGTCATTCTGCTCCTCTTACTTCAATACTTGGAAACAAATATGCAGATAATAGGTATGCGCAACACAAAATGCATTGTCACCGCTCTCACGCAGCCTGTCTTCTGAACCACAACTCAACGTCTGAACAATGGAACATTATCAGTGCCTGCTGGAAGCAATGCATGCTGGGATATGTAGTCTTAAACAATGTAACATTATCATTGCCTGCTGGAAGCAATGCATGTTGGCATATGTGGTCCTAAACAATGTAACATTATCATTGCCTGCTGGAAGCAATGCATGCTGGGAGATGTAGACTTGAGAAATGATGCTTGCAGCACATCAAGCAGCAGGGAAAGAGACGCAAAGCACACTGGGAATTCAGGAAGTTGTTGAAAGTGATGGACAGAGAAATTACCATGTGGGCAGGGCCGGATTTCCCACAAGCCCAACTAAGGCCCGGCCTCGGGACAGCAGGGAGTAGAGGTGCAGCAGGGAGTAGAGGGGCAGCAGGGAGTAGAGGTGCAGCAGGGAGTAGAGGTGCAGCAGGGAGTAGAGGGGCAGCAGGGAGTAGAGGGGCAGCAGGGGTGTAGAATTTCTATCTCCCGATGCCCCGGAGATACAGTTGCGGGCGGGTAGTTGTTATGTACATTTAGCCCGGCTTCGGGCAAGCAGAGCTAAATGTACAGCGGGGGAAGTAGCCGCTTGTTTTGTACGAGTGATCTAAGTGATTTCAGGTACCCGTAATATACAGGGGTACAGGTACTCCTAGAATGAGATCCTAATAGGTTGGACTTGATGGACTAATGTCTTTATTCAACCTCAAATACTATGTAACTATGTAACTATGTAACTGCGCCATAGTGAGTGAAGACAGCGCCAGCCCTATAGACCGTCGGTCACTTGGCTGGTAGAATGTATTCATAATATTTCTTCATCTGTGCCCATAGAAAAAAAATCTGTCTCTTTGTTCTTCGTAGAGAGGCAAAGCCCATGTACTGGCACTGGGATTGCCACTGAGACTGGCACTGGCACCACCATTGAGACTGGCACTGGGACTAGCACTGGAACTGCCACTGGAACTGCCACTGAGACTGGCACTGGAACTGCCACTGGCACTGAGAATGGGACTGGCACTGGAACTGCCACTGGCACTGAGAATGGGACTGGCACTGAGACTGGCACTGGGATTGCCATTGCCACTGAGACTAGCACTGGGACTAGCACTAGAACTGGCACTGAGACTGGCACTGCCACTGAGACTGGCACTGAGACTGGCATTGAGACTGGCACTGAAACTGGCACTGGGATTGCCATTGCCACTGGGACTGACACTGGGACTGAGACTGTCACTGGGATTGCCACTGAGACTGGCACTGGGACTAGCACTGGTACTGCCACCGGAACTGGGACTGCCACTGGGACTGAGACTGGCACTTGGACTGCTACTAGCACTGAGACTAGCACTTTGACTAGCACTGGTACTGAGACTGGCACTGAGACTGGTACTGGGACTAGCACTTTGACTAGCACTGGGACTGGGACTGGCACTGAGACTGGCACTAGCACTGGGACTGGCATTGGCACTAGCACTGGGACTGGCACTGAGACTGGGACTGGCACTGGGACTGGCATTGGCACTGGGACAGGCACTGAGACTGGCATTGGCACTAGCACTGGCATTGGCACTGGGACTGGCACTGAGACTGGCATTGGGACTGGCACTGAGACTGGCATTGGGACTGGCATTGGCACTAGCACTGGGACTGGCACTGAGACTGGCATTGGCACTGAGACTGGCACTGGGACTGGCATTGGCACTAGCACTGGGACTGGCATTGGCACTAGCACTGGGACTGGCACTGAGACTGGCACTGGGACTGGCACTGGGATTGGCACTGGGACTGGCACTGAGACTGGCATTGGGACTGGCATTGGCACTAGCACTGGGACTGGCACTGAGACTGGCACTGGGACTGGCATTGGCACTGGGACTGGCATTGGCACTAGCACTGGGACTGGCACTGAGAGTGGCACTGGGACTGGCACTGAGACTGGCATTGGCACTAGCACTGGGACTGGCACTGAGACTGGCATTGGCACTAGCACTGGTACTGAGACTGGCACTGAGACTGGTGCTGGGACTAGCACTTTGACTAGCACTGGGACTTGGACTTGCACTGAGACTGGCACTGAGACTGGGACTGGCACTGAGACTGTCACTGGCATTGGCACTGGCACTGGGATTGGCACTGGGACTGGCAGGGCATGCTGGGCACACAAAGCAGACCCATCCAGAGAGCATGAGAGTGAAAGGAGATATAAATAGCGCGGAGCTTGGAGGATAAGCGTGATCCATTCATCAATGTGAGATACAATACATCACAGGAAACAGGTCACCGTGGCAGCGATCAATATTCAACATAACCATCCGTCATCCGGGGAGCCTGCAAAGCCACCGCCATTGTCCGCGCACCCAATAATAAACTCCTCCAGGACTTCCAGGTGTTGGGGCCAGCAACGTCCAGCAAGAACGTACCCAATCATTACAGAAGACCTGTCACCACGCTCCTGACCCAGAGGAGCTCACCTTCTGAAAATACGAAATCTCTGGCTGTCATTCTGCTCCTCTTACTTCAATACTTGGAAACAAATATGCAGATAATAGGTATGCGCAACACAAAATGCATTGTCACCGCTCTCACGCAGCCTGTCTTCTGAACCACAACTCAACGTCTGAACAATGGAACATTATCAGTGCCTGCTGGAAGCAATGCATGCTGGGATATGTAGTCTTAAACAATGTAACATTATCATTGCCTGCTGGAAGCAATGCATGTTGGCATATGTGGTCCTAAACAATGTAACATTATCATTGCCTGCTGGAAGCAATGCATGCTGGGAGATGTAGACTTGAGAAATGATGCTTGCAGCACATCAAGCAGCAGGGAAAGAGACGCAAAGCACACTGGGAATTCAGGAAGTTGTTGAAAGTGATGGACAGAGAAATTACCATGTGGGCAGGGCCGGATTTCCCACAAGCCCAACTAAGGCCCGGCCTCGGGACAGCAGGGAGTAGAGGTGCAGCAGGGAGTAGAGGGGCAGCAGGGAGTAGAGGGGCAGCAGGGAGTAGAGGGGCAGCAGGGGTGTAGAATTTCTATCTCCCGATGCCCCGGAGATACAGTTGCGGGCGGGTAGTTGTTATGTACATTTAGCCCGGCTTCGGGCAAGCAGAGCTAAATGTACAGCGGGGGAAGTAGCCGCTTGTTTTGTACGAGTGATCTAAGTGATTTCACGGCCCTGCATGTGGGCATAGATACAAGCACAGAGAGACTGAAAGCATTTGGCTTACAGAATAATAAGTTGTAATGGGAAAACCTCTGAATAACACATCATATACTTCTTCCAGGAGCCCCTGAGAACAATGAGGGATCATGGGACATGTAGTTCTGCTCATCAGCGCAGAACTACTAGACCGCTGCGCTCCCAGGTAGGACTCTGCAGTGATATCTGTGCTTTATTTGTTGAATTATATTACAATGTATTACTCTGATCAGTTATCTTGTCTCCTGCGCTGACATCATCGGACGGTCCGGAGCTGAGTGCGCAGGGCCCCCTGCGGCATCTACTTTTTCAGTCCTGAGCTGCTTTTCCTCCGAGTCAGCTTTCCATTAATGGTTTGAGGATAAGATCGCTCCCGGAGCCCCAGCTGTATGGATTTCAGATCACATCTCTCTCCATTAATGTTAAACTGTGAGGAGTAATTATCAGGCAGAGCCGTGTCGGACTTCGGTGGTCGGTGGGATGCAAGAGATGGAACCTTCGCTATATATATAGATCTTCAGACCGGACCGTCTGTAACCAACTGGAGGAGAGAAGATCGAGGCCACAAGTGGAATCATTAGAGGAGAGACCGCAATGTTTTATATGACGACCTCGGGAGGGATCATGTGATTACTGTGAACCATATATACCCTTATATCAGGCCTGATCCTGAAGGCCCCCATGCGCAGTGTGGCAGTGGGTGCTGGGCACTGGGATGCAGAGCATTCCACCACCTGACAATCTTTAGCTGGCACTGCTGGGTGGAGTGATCTCCTGCTGAAGGGTGCCAACATGGATTCAGCCGTATATATGTTATGTGGGCAGCACAGGAGCAGACGGGACAGCGAACATCAACACTAATCCCACTAAAACCATCGATGGGGCACTATTCCCTCCACTGACACCAATGATGGGGCACTATTCCCTCCACTGACACCAATGATGGGGCACTATTCCTCTCACTGACACCAATGATGGGGCACTATTCCCCCCACTGACACCAATGATGGGGCACTATTCCCCCCACTGACACCAATGATGGGGCACTATTCCTCTCACTGACACCAATGATGGGGTATGATTCCTGCCATTGACACCACCGTGGCATTATTCCGTCTCCTGACCACTGACAAACCCCTGTTACAGGCAGACCCTCCCACCCACTTGAAGTACGTGCACGTGAGTGACCCGTCTCATTATCTACAGGAAAGGAAATGGTAAAGAACCTGCGATGAACTTCGTGATATTTGTCGGTTACATTCGCTTGGCACTCCTACAAGACAGTATAACCAGGTCCGTAATGCGCCATTTTCTCCACTGCAGTTAAGCCGCACAGTTAGGTCAGTGACCCGTCTCCAGCCCAGTGAATGAGCAATGATGAGGTCATCACTCTGATGAGGTCATCGCTCTGCTTAGCTGGTATACTCACAGAGATAGGAGAACACTCTGCGAGTAGTCTGATTGGCTCACTGTCATGGCCTACCCTCTCAGTATGTGTTTGCAGGAAGCCAGGGGGCGTAACTAGAAATCGCAGGGCCCCATAGCAAAATTTGTATGGGGCCCCGTGATTTATAGTTATGCCCCTTGCAGAGCCCACTCGAGATCCCACCTGAGAGTGACCCTGCGGAGCCCGCCATAGACTACTTCACCGCCGCTGCTGAGCTGTGTCAGTGTCAGCCAGAACCCCGATATGTTATAGCGACCCAGGCGCGCCCTCACGGCATCAGAGGGATGCCCCGGCCGGCGCCACCCCTGTGCCCGGGCCCCCTAGCGGCCGCCTGTGTCGCTATGGCGATTGTCACGCCACTGCAGGAAGCTAATATAAGCCCTAAACCAGAACCGTAAAGGGGACCTGTCACGATTATGGTCTCAAATAGAACGGGATTCCTTAACTACGGACCTCAATCTTCTGCTCTGTTCTTCCCTACTAAATAGTTCTCCCACTAAATCTCTCAGACACTGTGACAGCGACCTTGAGAGTCTGGCATGCCCTTGAGTCCCCGACTCAATCACATACAAATCTATACTCAAATTGTTACCGCTAACAACTCTTGATCTCATCCTTACAGACATACATTTGTCCAACTGGACAAGTTTGGGGGTCTCATATATAGCCAGTCTGTATGACAATGACCGCCTGCTGCCATTTGAGGCTCTATGTCAGCGATACTCTCTTCCGACTCGCGACTTCTATAAATACCTCAGAATAAGACACTATCTGGCCTCTATATGTGTGCGCGACGGAACGCTTCTTAGGAGACGCATACACTGCTATGGTACTAATTCCCCATCCAAGAAAGGTATTTCCTTTTTTTATAATCTACTTAGCGGTCCAGTTCTGGTCACCAGTACTAAGAAAAGATGTCCTTGAGTTGGAAAAAGTCCAGCGAAGGGCAACCAAACTAATTAGGGGTATGGAGGACCAGAGCTACGAGACGAGGCTACTAAATTTAAACATGTTCACATTAGAGGTGAGGAGATTAAGGGGGGATATGATTTCCATGTACAAAATGTTTAATGGTGGCAGCAACATTAGCGATAAACTGTTTAAAATTAACTCCGTTACAAAAACTAGAGGCCATAACCTAAAATTGGTGGAAAAAAAATTCCAGCACAAGGGGCGAAGGGGGTTCTTCACAGTAAGATCAGTTAGGGTCTGGAACTCACTGCCACAGGCGGTGATTTCAGCAAATAATGTGGAATTGTTCAAGAAACTTTTGGACGATTTCTTAAGGGACCGTAATATACAGGGGTACAGGTACTCCTAGAATGAGATCCTAATAGGTTGGACTTGATGGACTAATGTCTTTATTCAACCTCAAATACTATGTAACTATGTAACTATGAACCAAAAACTACCGATAAATTGCCATCCGTGAGGTGGTGGGAAACGGAACTAAACTTTTCTCTCTCTCCAGAACAATGGTACAAAGCGGTCACTTGGCCTCTGAAAACCTCGCAATGTCTAAGCCACTGGGAATCCCAACAGAAACCATTGCATAAATGGTACCACACACCACAGAAGCTGGCAAAAATCTACCCCTCCTCCTCACCACTCTGCCGGCGGAGCTGTGGAATTGTGGGATCATTGACACACATCTGGTGGTGTTGCCCATCCCTTGGCCCCTTTTTGGCCTGAGGTTTTTCAGCTCATCTCCACAATTACTCAGCTCCCCTGTGGCGTTTCCCCACAACTTGCCTTGTTAGGGGTTGGAAGAGTGACCACCAGCTTCCAGGACTGTTGTGTCCTCATAGCGGCCCGAAGGGGACCTGTCACCTTGTTACATGTGTTATAACTCTGCGCCAGAACGCGCCCTTCATTTTCCAGCCTTGGGTAGTCATCATCCCCCGGAGAAGATGAATGAAGCGCGTTTAGGTATCCGGATACAAGCGCCGTCCTCTCCCTGCTGTCCTACTTAGAAAAACTGTTGTATACGGGGATAAGATTGTGTGAAAGTGAAGTCGCTCTCCGAGGCGATGTTAGCAGGCCATTGAGCGTACCCAATCTTCAGGATGGTCCCATCGCTGTACTTTATACCTCCAGAGATGGAAGTCATCTCTCTCCTCCTGGAAGCCTCCGGGGTTCCATCCGACTGTAAATTCCGCTTTTCTCTTCCCGCGGATGAACAATACAATGGGGTGAAATGACCCGCAGAGATTCATGACAGCATTGATGCGCTATTTATACCGGATACTCTGCAGTACGGTAATCCAACGCCCGCTCCCTCTCCATCCCCATCCTTTCTCTTCTCCTATAGATTATTTATCACCGCGGGACATCTGGGACATATTGATGGATGGGGACCATTGAACGCCATATGTGTTGTATTTATTTATCACACAGGAAGTGCCGGCGAATGGAAGCCTTTCTTTCACGGAGAAACTAACCTCATAGTTGTCTCTGGGCCGCAAACATCGTAAAATATGCCATGTGTACTGCTTATATTGTTGCTGCTTGATGGTCAGGGATTTATTTTTATATTTTAAATGATTATATTTATAATTTATTAAAGGTATTTATATAGCGCCAACAATTTACGCAGCGCTTTTACATAGTGTACAGTCACATCAGTCCCTGCCCTCAAGGAGCTTACAATCTAAGGTCCCTATCTCACGTGCACACATAGGGGGCCAATTTAGACCAGGGGCCAATTTACCTTCCAGCGGGTCTTTGGTGTGTGGGAGGAAACCTGAGTACCTGGAGGAAGCCCACGCAAGCACGGGGAGAACATGCAAACTCCTTGCAGATAGTGACCTGGCTGGGATTTGAACCAAGGACCCCCAGTGCTGCAAGCAGAAGTGCTGACCACTACGCCACTGTGCTGCCCCATAAGAATAACAATAATAATAAGTTTATATATATACACCCTGTTTCCCTGAAAATAAGACCTAGTTGTGACCATTCCCGGGGCCGGTGGCGGCATAAGGGGGAACTTGAAGAGCCGCGGGAGAGAATCAGCGGTGCCAAGGAAGCCGGTGCTAGAGGAAGCGAGGCGGCACCGGAGGGAGCAGAGCCGCATAAGCCGACGCCTCCTCTATAGCCCCGCCTCCTGTCACAGGCGGAGTCATACCAAATGCGCTCCGCCTGTGAGGGATCCATAGTGAAAGCTTCGCTCATCCTGGCCAGCGATTGGTTAGCAAATTGCTCTTGGAAAGGTACGGCGCCCCCGATTATTCTTAATTATGCCATTTTAGATTATCTCATTTGGATTTGCATTAACTTTGGATTGTTGTACATACAAAAAAAAAAATAAGACCTAGCCCCGAAAATAAGACCTAGTGTGTTTTTTTGAGCCCCAAAAAATATAAGACAGTGTCTTATTTTCGGGGAAACACGGTATATATATATATATATAGTGTGAATAGTCCGTACAGCAGCCCTTCGGTTCTACTGAACCGAAGGGGTCCCGGGGCCGAAGCTACGGCTAAATCCTTCGACTGCTTTGTGAATAGACCCCATAGTTGTAACCAGTGGCGTAACAATCACCATAGCGACCCAGGCGCCCGCTATGGGGCCCGGCGGGGCCCGGCCAGGACATCTCCCTGATGCCATGCGGGCCGCCTGGGTCGCTATGGCATCTGGCTCGGACAGCCAGGCTGCTGGCTGTCACTGGTGGCTGTGAGGAGGAACGCTCCGTTCCTTCTCACAGCCGCTGCCGAGTCGGTGACAACCAGCAGCTTCACAGGAGGTGGCTGGGCCCGTCATCGGTGGCGATCGAGGGGGCGGGGCCCGGCGATCGAGGAGGCGGGGCCCAGTGACGGAGGAGTCGATCGTGGAGGAGAAGGAGGCGGACAGAGGATCAGGGCTGACAGGTAAGAGGGCTTGACCGCCCGCCTGAGACCCTGCAGAGCCCACCATAGAGAGTCTATGGTGGGCTCTGCAGGGTCACCCTTAGGTGCGCTGTTTGGGTTATCAGGTGGGCGTAACTAGAAATCACAGGGCCCCATACAAAATTTTGCTATGGGGCCCTGTGATTTCTAGTTACGCCCCTGGTTGTAACTCTTCGATTTTGGTGAATATCTTTATTTTGGTTGTCCACCTTTAATCTCAATGAACAGTCGCCCCCGTCCCTGTCATTTGGTTTCATGTATTTGGGTGACGGGCGGCTCCTGTAACATTCCCGGTGAGAGATGTTTTGCCCGCGGTTTCCCGGCGCTCGTGTAATCCCGAGGTGCGATCCGAGGCCGGTCGCCTCGTGCGACGATCCTGTCACTTTCGCTACGGCGGAATAAAAACCCAATACGGTGAGTCATTCATCCGAAAAAAAATGCAGGCATCCCAACGCGGCGACGCCGGGAAAAGGACGGGGCCTCGGTAATTGGAAGTCAACCAGGCGTGATTAACATTTGTGCTCGCGCCGAGGCTTGATACATTGTAAAACGATTCCAGAACACAAAAGCTTTCAGGATGAGGTGGTAATAAGGCTAATTAAGGGGACGCAGTGTGCAATGAGACGAGGGAAGGGAAGTGCGTTCTCTGGCAGGGGGGGCGATAAGGAGGACAGGCTGAGGCACTAACAAGGATCCAGGGAGCAGACGAGTCACACGGGCGCTCTAATCCTCACCGAGAATTTCCTCGGTCTCCCCTCCACTAGTGATGAGCCGAACACCCCCAGGGAGTCGAACGTTCGAAAATGAATGTCCCCTTTAAGAGGGCTTATACAGGCAGTCCCCCGGGTTACGGGCAATCCGTACTTACGAACCGGGTCCACAGTTCTCCTAAATGTACCGGAAGCTGCCGGTACATTTAGGAGAACTGTGGCTGCAGCGGCCTGTGTCCCTTCAGATCCCCCCTGCTCTCCACGCCGGTGTTGGCGGAGACAGTGGGGACAAGACTGCTGCATGCCTTCGCTTTCCCCCCGTACCTCCGCTGCTGTCCCGGCCTCCGGTCCCCTGGTCCCTCCGCTGCTGTCTCGGCCTCCGGTCCCCTGGTCCGTCGGCTTCTTCTCTGATCCGGTCTGACTCTGCCCCGCTGCCCCGCCCCCCTGCCTCCTCTTCATTGCAGGCTGGGAGCCATACCCAGCCTGCTATTGGATATTGTAAAATGCAATAGCCAATAGCAAGCTGGCTATTGCACCCGCCCACTGCCTGCTGTCAATCAGCATGGGGGGACCTGATAGAGAACTTTCTCCTTCAGGCCCCTCCTCCGCTGAGCCCTGATTGGGCAAAGTCTTGCACCTGACCTGTCGTCCTGTGGTCAGGTGCAAGACTTCAACAAATCAGAGCTTCAGTGGGCATTTTGTATTATGGAACGTCCGCGGATCGAACAAACCGCGAACATCCCATAAAGTTCGGCGTTCGGCTCATCCCTACCCTCCATCGAGAGATCGCTCAGACTGTACACTGTGAGTTTGCAGCAAGTCACAAAGTGAGGGGCAGCGGCGGGAAAACGGATATGTTTGAGGCGCTCATACGCCGCCCAGAACATAAAGTCTACGGTACAGACGATCGGCTATATAAGACTGTTCAATGTATGGGCCTTGAAGATGCCTGAACAAAGATGACGCCGTCCTTCTGGAGAGAAAAGCAGATGAAGACACTGTCAGGGGGAGGTCCTGTGATCTCTGTGAGAGGGGATAGTACCTGGAAGGGTTACACTGGCCATGCACGGCTCAAATTCTAGCCAATGTCTGCTAAATCAGCCGAAATGGACGGCCCCGTTGACGCCAACCGGCTCCACAACAATGAAATGAGAGATTTAAGAAACCGAGCGGAAAACTGTCAGCACAACAGTGACTGTGATGGCAGAATTCAGTCATTTCTCCAATTCTGCCCGTGTGGCTGATCCACTGACGGCGGGTTTTACTTTTTTTTTGGGGGGGGGCGTAGACAACCCAAGCAGCTAACCCTTCCAGTGCCAGAGCAGCCCCACTACAAGGGGCAAGTTCTGTGTTACAGATACATTGTAATCAGCTGCTCCTGACAGACACAGCCAGCTACAATGTACAGTCCCCAGCCCAGACTACCCGGATCAGAACCTCGGCCCACAAACTGACACCACGGCAACAAACACAGAGGACGTGAAGACGTTTGATATCCGGCTGACAAGATGAGGGAAATATTGGGAGGAGAGACAAGAGGAAAGCAGCGACGTCTGATATCTACAGCTGACACAATGTCACGTTCCATGCACCGCAGAAGGGGGGGTGAGATGTTTAGGCGCGAGAAAGAGAGATGCGCCGATACCGAGTATTTGGGCCAGTATTCGTATTAGTCCAAATGCTCCGATACCTTCCCTGATACCGGAACTTTCGGTCAGAGGAAGATTCACTCTGAAGATTTGGCTGGGAAGCCAGGAAACCGGCTTCCCGGCCAATCAGGAAGCCGAGAGGTGGGTCAATACTTTGATTGGCCGGGAAGACGGCTCCATGTTGATTTGCTGGGAAGCCAGGCAGCGGCGTCCCGAGGCCGGGTGTCACCCGGAGCGGAGACCAGGTGACGCCCCCGCCGTGACGTCATCGAGCATGCGCAGCCATCTAATTTTCGCCATCTTGGTGATGGACGCCGGCAGAGAGTGGAGGAGGGGTCGTTCACCCGGCGGGATGAGGCATGCTGCCGGGTCCCCTCCTCTCTCCTGACGCTGTCGGGCTCTCGGTCCATGACCGAGTGCCGACTTTTTTTGAGAGGGTGACACCAAAATGACTGTCAGTCACCCCTCCACTGGTGTCACCCAGGTGCGGGCCGCTACACCCGCACCCCCACTGAAGCCAGTTACCCTGATGCCCGGCTTGCTGATTGCCCCCAAAGCCGGCTCCACCGTCAGACTCAGATGCCAGCGGAAGCACCGGCAAAATATCGGTATTCGTACTCAATACCTGAAGAACGGTATCGGCGCATCCCTAATGGATGGATGGATCTCACAGCACGGTGTGGAACAATCAGAACACATCATTCTTCGGCCTCGCCATACGGCGACATACAAATAACACCAAGAGCAGGAATTCCGATCACGTATATTGATTATTAGGAAGTGAACTCGGCGCAGTAATTACAGATCTGAATAATTGATACATTTTGTATCTTTCATATTTTTCATGATCTGTCGCTGGAATCTGAAGATCTCAGTTCATCT